AAGGCTATTAAAACCAATACACAAACCAAATACCACCAAACACAACATGCACATGCCATTAAGTTTTTCAGCTTTTGGATTCCTTTCATTAACCAAGCAAAAGAAACAGAAACAGAAAAAAAAAAAAAATACCTCATTAAAAACTAGATAACTATTGACAACATTTGACAAAAAAAAGAACAGTCCAATAAAAAAAAGATCAGAGTTGGAGTCAATATGACCTCCAAATTGCACAAGACCTCCACCATAGAGGTGAAATACCACCCATCTCAATAACAGGATCAAATGCAGAACACCCAGAAAGACAAGGGAATCTGACCAAATTCAATTTATAAGTCAGCTTCAAAATCACCTAACTAAATTGGGTTTCAAATATTGTGACCAATGAACAATCAAATTGATAATTCAGTTTCAAATCACGAAACGGAATTGTGTTTCAAGTTTTTGAACAAACCCAGAGGCCAACTAGAATTATTCAACTGAGAACTAAACTCTAAAATCACTAAACTGAATAGGGTCTCAAGTTTTCGATTCATTTATTACATATTATTGAGTGAGCTCAGAATTATAAGTTTTGAGTTGTGAGCAACAGAACTACATTGCCAATCCAAAACATAGAGAAATTCAATTTAACTACGTAAACTCCGTTGAACTGAAGAGCTTATATATGAGAAAGAAAGAAGATACCGGCTTTTTGTTTGGAGCCTAAGAAGTGAGAAGATCTGATACGGGGGCGATTGGCGAAGACGAAGAGTAAACCCATTGCTAGAATAAGGGCTAATCGTCAACCAGTTTGGTTACAAAGGTAGCCAGAGTTTTTGGAAAATCAGACTGTTCAAAGAGAAAATCCATCTCTGTACAGTTCTTGATTTCATCATTTGAGGTATCAAAATCATCTCAGGTTTCTATTTGGGTATTAGGGTTTCTGTCGAATCAAGCACACAGAGAGAGAGAAAGAGATAAAGAGAGATCCATACCGGGTGAAGATGAAACCACAATGAAGATAGCTCTGATGAAGAACAACCCCAAATTGGTGCAAAGCTCTGAGATGAAGAACAATAGCCAATGAGTTTTGCTAGCCAGAAGTGGTGAGTGAGAATGAGGGGAGGCAAAATAGCCTGTGGAATAGAGAGCCGGTTGAAGAGAAATTTTTTGGATTGGCTTAACAAATTAGCTAAAAGCTGGTCTTTGTTGAGCCGGTTGGAGTTGCTCTTAGAGTATCTAACTCAAAACCAATTGTAAATGGGTAGTGTGACCCCTCAAGTATACAAACCAACCTTGGTGGTCCTTAATATTCGATGTGGGATACAAGCTCTCTTGACAAAGTTACTTGAAGGAATTTTTTAGCGCTTCTTTAAGCTTTTTTTTTCACTTTCAACTGACTAATTGCCCTAGGACTTTCATTAAATCGATCATTTGTTTTGCGCATTTGCAGGTGGTTGCTGGTATGACTGGCAAAAAATAAAGATAATATGAAGGGTAGATGTTATTTTCAGTAATTTGATTCCCTTCCCACCTATTTTCCTTTATACTCTGATCAAAGATTGAAATAAGAGTTGAGTATCTTTTGTTTCCTGTGAACTTTGAAGTATTACATACATCTCTTAACTCATTTGTATAATGTATGAATTTTTTTTCATGCTACTTAAACCATCTAAGCTTCATCTATAGCCTATTCAATGCATGTTAGAATGCCTGAGCTCTTCTTCACTTGTCTTGGTGGGCTTGCTACCAATCTATTTGAAGGCTTAAAATTGGGATCTTTTGACCCATCTAGAGAAATTGGCCGGTTTGGACTTTGGAGTGCCCTTTTTTCTACTTGTCTATAAGATCGTCTGTTTGGTTAAAACACCCTTACGTTTTTTAAAAATTTATAAGTATTGTTCACTATTGGTATTAACATCTATACCGAGTACTGAGATTCTTAAGTTAAATATGACAAAATAACTGTCTATTGGTTTTTGTTCAATTGTAAGTTTTTATGACGTTTTAGATCAGTACTTGAAAAAAAAAATATGTAATTGATTAGAATTTTCAGAAATGGGTTGATAATTTCAAAATGAATTGTGAGCAACCATCTGAGGATTCTGGTTGATTGACAACTCACATATGCCAATTGACTTTTGAGCTCCAACTAATCAGGTTGTAGTGTTTCTGATATTGTTGCATTGAGCTGGTTTAAAGACTCCAAATTAGTTTAAAACTGCCATGGTAAGTCAATGAAATTGATGTGATTGTATGTATGTGTTGGATGGTTTGCTCCAGTATCTGTAATTATTCATGAATATGAGTTGTGTAAGTAAGCCCTACATCAGCAATCAGCTGGTCAGGTTGTTAATATTCCATTTGCTTGATTGAATGGACAGGTTAAAAGTTGTAAGTAATTTTCTATAGCTTAAGTGGTGGATTAGTTGAATTTTGGAGTGGGTGACCATTATAAGTAATTCAATTATTAAAACTGTCAGCATCAGCGCATCATTATCTTTGGTTAAATGGATTTTTAGTGCTCTCAGAAACTGTGTTCCATGTAAGCAAATCATTTCCACTGAGAATTGTGAAGCATGTGGGACGGGTTCCTTAGCTGTATATGTGCTGGGTAAGATGTTTTATCCCTTCCTATTTGGGAATCCTATGCTCAAAGTTACGTCAAATATGTGGTCTTAAGAAGTGGAGTCATTGTTCATATACTGATTGCCTTCTCCATGATTTGGAGACCATCAGTTTTGCTTATGAAATATATATATATATATATATTACCTGTGCCTGAAGGGACAGAATAATAATAAAATAGTTAATAATAAATATATTTGTATTTACACTAAAAATCAAATCATAAATATAGAGGAGAGAAAAAAAAATTTAAACCCCAGTTATAATAGGGGTGAACAATGGTAGTGGTGATAGGTGACAGTGGTGGTGGTAGAAGATGGTGATGGTTGTGATAAATGGCGATGATCGTGGTGATGGTGGCAGCTGTGAGTAGTAATGGTGATGGTAGATGTTGGTTTTAGGTGACGATGGTGGTAGTGGCAGTCATGAGTGACAATGGTGATGATGATTGATAATGGTGGTGGTAGACGACGACGGGTTCTTCTGGGTGATAGTGTGAAGAGTGGTGGCGAATGACGATGGTGATGGTGGTGATGGTGATGGGTGTGGATGACTGTGGGTGACGATAGTGGTAGACGATGACAGTGGTGGTGTGGTGGTGACAGCGATGGCGGTAGGGTGGTGGCAACGGTGGTGGTAGTGGGTGATGGGGGTAATTGTGGGACAATAACGGTGGTGGTAGGATGGCGACAGTATTGGTGGTGGTGGGACGGTGGTAGAGGTGGGGTGGCGGCGACGATTATTGTGGCAAAGGTGGTGGTAGGATGGCAACAACGGGGGTGGTAGTGGGGGTGGCGGTGATGGTGGTGGAGGTAGATGTGGTGGTGGGTTGGTGGCGGTGGTGAGACGGTTTCAAGTACTATTTTTTTTAAAAGTATTTATGAGAAGTTATAAAGTACTTTTAAAAAGTCACTCAAACACACTCTTAGGAACTTATTTTCTATTAAATTTGAGGTGTTAATATTAGTCGTCAGATTAACTTTAAAGTAAAATTTTAACAGATCTTACCCGTGAAAAGTAAAAGGCATTTTTAAAATTTTTGAGATTTGAATTATATTTTATTTTATTACATAGATATACTAGTTATTGCCCCTGTATGAAGGTACAAAGTAATAAAAAAATGATTAATAATAAACATATTTATATTCACACTTAAAATCAAATCACATATATAGAGGAGAGAGAAATGAATTTAAACACCGGTTGTAATTGAGGGTGAGCGATGGAAGTGGGGGTGGGTGGCAGTGTTGTTGGTGACAGTTGTAGGTGGCAACAGTGATGGTGGCGATGGGTTTGGGTGACGATGATGGTAGTGGGTTTGAGTGACGATAGTCAAAGTGGCAGCCATGAACGACGGCCGTGGTGGTAATGGTGGTTGTGGTGGTGGGCGACGATGATGGTGATTGATAGTGGTGGTGGTGGTGGGGCGACGACGATAGTAATGGCGAGCGACAATGGATGTTTCTAGGTGATAGTGTGATGGGTGGTGACGAATGGCGACACGCTGACTGGTGGTGGTGGTGGTAGTAGGTGTGGTGGGGTGAGTAATAGTGGCTAACAACAATGGTGGACAATGACAGGTAGTGATAGTTTATGGTAGTGGGTGGTGGTGAGTGCTGATAATGGGCGACAGTGATAGTGGGATGATGATGTTAGTGGTAATAAATATAAAATGAAATGACAATGGTGACGATGGACGATGATGATAACAATCGGTGATAAATGACGATAGTGGTGACGGCGATAGTGGGGTGACAACGATGGCTGTAGGGGTGGTAGTGGTAATGGTCGTGGTGGTAGTGTGGATGGTGATGGTGGGGCGGTGGTGGTGGTAGTTATGGTAGAGGTGGTGGTAGGGTAACGACAATTGTGGTTGTGGTAGTAATGGTGGTGGTGGGGTGGAGTAGGGGGGTAAGGGTGAGGGTGAGGGTGAGGGTGAGTTGGTAGTGTTGATAGTGGTGGAGCGATTCAAAATATATATTTTTTTTTAAAATACTTATAAAAAGTTATAAATTTTAGAAATACTTAAAAAAATCATCACAAACACACTCTTAACACCATATTTTTCTTATTAAATTTAGAGTGTTAATATTAACCGTTAGATTAATTTTAAAATAAAATTTAAAGGGATCTTAATCGCAAAAAATAAATATTATTTTTATTTATCTTTTGAGATTTAAAATATATTATACTTTATTATATAAATAGTCCTCTCGTAAAGCCTATAGAGAGAGAGAGAGAGAGAGAGAGAGAGAGAGAGAGAGAGAGAGAGAGAGAGACCCATGGTATCTTATTAGTGATTTACCTAGACCTTGGTGAAGGTATTCTCACATCACTATGCTTCCACTAGAAAAAATGTGTACATATTTGTGAAACGACGAATATAGTTTGGACCATACATAAACTGAATTTGATTCTTATATTCAAGCTTTAGCATTGTAGTGCATACATAGGAGAAAAGAGAATAACTACTACTATTATAGAAATACATGCTGAAACTCAGCAAAATCAAGCCATGCAAGTTTGCATTGGAGTCTGTCTTATCATACAAAAGCTTCAAGAGGACTGCTTAAAACAAACTAAGCTGTCTTTATATGATGAGCCCATCTTTCTTCGATTTTCTACTCCATGGAATCGCTTTCTTGAAGCCCTCGTATACAGCTTCCTGCAATGTTGAGGAAAAAGAATATCAACATAGAAGTGGTTGAGATATGGCCTAAAATTGTCCTTCCGACGGTAGGGGCGCTGTATATATATATATGCAACCATGACAAGAAAATTATGTGAGGGGATCGTTCCTATCAAAAATAAATGTTCAGCTTTAGTCTTCTTGGTCAGGTGATATCGAGTTCATCTCGTCTCTCAACCTAAGTCAACGTATATCAAACCCTTCCCAATTTGTGTAGAGGCAGAACTGTTGGGCGTGGGCGATCTCTATGTTCTTTGTCACATTTGACCAACTTTTGCACAAGAAAAAGTGTCCATGCCTTGAAACGTTACAACAAAGATAGAGGACCCTCACTTCTAATTTCTTTTCAGAGTAGTCTGGTTGAAAAGTCATAACATTACTGAAATCCCCCCCCCCCCCCCCCAACAAGAAGTTTGCTAAAGTCCCATTTGCTTTCTTTTAGAAGCTTCAAAATAAAGCAGGCAAGGAAGGGGGCTGTGAATCAATTTTTCTAAAGCCAGAAAGAAGCATCTCCTTTTTTTCTTTATTTAAATGATTCTAAAGGATGAAGGCAATTGGCGGGCTGGCACTACAAATTTCAATTTCTAAGTTTTTGACATCAAAAAGAAACCGCATTGTGAACATAAGGAAAGAAAGCCATGTCTTTTGGTTAAAGGTTGAAGCTTTCTCTGGCACATATTAGCTTATAGCTGCACTTAATAGACCGTTTTGGCTTCCTCTCCAGCAACCACTTTCCTCATCTTACCCCCACTGCACTTTCGCTCCGAGCTATGCCTGCTGAGCAAGATGCTGCCTAGATAGTAGATAACACCCACAAGGACAAAGGTCAAATATCCAACAACTTAGCAGGCAGCGTAATCTTCCCTGTTCATGGATCATTATTCACTGCTACAAGTTGTAGACAGCAGGCTGAGGCTATCTACCTACTATTTGGACTATGACCGCAAGAAAATATGGTGTCCTTTGCCAGCCACAGAAGTAAAGAATTTAATCCTCATCCACACAGCCATTCGGGTACAATTTTCAACGGCCATTATGAATAAGCTTTTGCTTTTATTTTCTTTGGTCAGACTAAGCTTTTGATTCAACCATTCACTTATAATATATGATTGAATGTATTCCAGACCTAATAATTGTAAATTATTAGATTTCACACACGCACACACACAACATGCGCACAAATAATCCAGCTACCCATATGGAAAATTAAATGCTAGTAAAGAAATTTCTGAACAATTTTGCTTTGTTTCCTAGCATAGCAAGCACTGATCAAGATCAGACATGTTATTGAAATCTAAAACACAGTATATTGTTGAAGAGAGCTTACCCAGAAATGAGACCTTGCTTGAGAGAGAGTGGAAAAGCTTCCATTGCTTCTAATCCTTGCCCTCTTCACCCTTGTAGTACTGCCACACTGATCATCATCAATATTGCAATGATCTGCTACGTCAATGGAAGATGGAAAGACGAAACTATCCCCACCAACATGTTTGTTACCACTACTACCCTTAAGGGTCTTTAGCCTCCAAGACCCAAAGAACCCCCTTCTCGTCTTGTTTCCTGATCTCTTTCCAAGAACAATTGTCCCAAGCTGCCCTCTCTCAGGACTCGAAACAGTACTATTAAATGACCCCTCAAACTTTCTTATGAATCTGAATGAAGATGAAGAGAATATAGACTTGTCCTCATCAGGACCGTCAAGGACAGTGGTGGGTGAGGGTGTTTTGGTAATCTTAGACTCCATTAACAGTCTTGGAGGTAGCTCTAAGCACTTGGGTCCATTGTTGTTGGGTGGGAGGGTGATGAGAGCTGTGCAGGGTCGTGGCTTACCAGGCTCTTCTTCCCACCGGAATGGAACCGAAGCTGAGGTGTGGAGTGGTGGTGTTAGCATACCAGAGTGCACAGGTGACTGCATCGGTGGGATTGAGAACAGTGCAAGCTTTGGTAAGGAACATGCCTCGAGTTCTGCCTCGGATCCCATCTCTCTCTCTCTCTCTAGATTATGGTTTTTTGGGGGAGAAGAGAGAATGGGGCTTTACCTGAAGGAAATAAAGAGGGGAGAAGAAGCAAGGTCTTGTAGCTGTTACACGAGACTTTTGAGTGTCTCTCAAGATAAAGAGACACCCAAAAAGATTACACGGCTAGTCACCACGTTACAGGAAGACAGTGACGAAAACACATATACATACAAACGCGTTTATTCCTCATGAGCCATATAAGTTTGAGTAATGTTATTGAATTTTAAAAAATTAGTACAATTTGTTGACTTAGTTATATGACTATCATATAGTCCAATAATATTATTGTGATAGTAATTTTTAGACTTTTTACTATGTATCCTTATTACAATAATGTTATTAAAATTTAAAAAATTGACTAATAGTATGACAGTAATATGCTCTAATAGTATATTGTGGTTGTAGCTAAAATGCATATAAACACATTAGTAAAATGATAATAAACATATTTTGCTTTTATAACTACATTTCTTTATTGATGCTTAAAATTCTAACACTGATTAGGTCAAGTGATATAAAGGATGAGTGATAAATTCATACGTTTTAAATTCGAATTTTAATAACTCTTAAAATCAGATCATGAGAGATTTATTTATTATGAATACTTAGTCTTAGCGTAAATATCCCACCTTTGACTTGACGGATGAAAAAATTAGTCAAAATATTTATAAATTAATGGCAACATCTTTGACCTTTGAACCCAAAAAAATAAAAATAAAAAAAATTGGAAAGAAAGGACAAGTGAAGAACCACTATATTTGTGGTATGTTTTTTGTACACATGTACGAAAGAAATACATAGTTTACATCATTAGCACATAGACTGTGCATTTGGCCCAGCCAAAAAAAACGTGTTACCTTTGTGGGTAGGCCCTCAAAAATATTTGACCAACCATAAAAAAAAACCTTGACAAAAATCCAATAATCAAAGTAATGAAGATGAGGGACCAAGGAGACAAAACTAACTAAAACAGAAAAGCATGTTGATATGTGTTGTGTAGCAACACGAGGTGCTTAGTTCAATCCCCTCCCATGACTCCCCTTCTCTCTCCCGATAGTGTAGTGTAGTATCGTTGCTTTAAAAATAAAAAATTTTAAAAAAGAAAAAGAAAAAGGAAGGTAAGCGTATATAACATCTTTATTGAAAAATCAGCGACTAAAATACAAAAGCAAGAATCTGCCTATCTAAAATCCACGTATGAATCCTAAACTAACTAGGATGCATGCATGTTGACTTGGATTGTATGTGGAGTAGAATCCTAAACAATGTAAAACCCTAATAACAAAATATAACGCCCTAAAATATACCTGAACGACATTGTATTTTAAAATCATTCATATCATGAGAGCATTAATATAATCCCTTAAGAAACAAGACTTTATTTGTCATCCACGAATATTTACAACATTATCCAAAGAATAAGCCCAAGTCATGACTATTACATATCAAAAATTAATTAAAGAAGCGCAGCGGAATAAACAAAAAAAGCTAGACTACACAATGTTTCAAAAGAATGTCCTAGTCTAGTACAAAAGGAAATGAGGTCGCTCTATGCGTCCACCTCGGGATCCACACTCCAGTCCAGTGGAGTCTCCCAAGTAGCGGGCTCCTCGACCATTACGTCCTCCTCCTCAAGCGGGTAATCTGAAAAATGTTAGCGATAGGGGGTGAGCACGAAGCTCTGTAGAAAAATTCTCTCAAACTCATACAAGGTTTAGAAAAACATTTAACACGATCGGTCTCAATTTTAACATAACATAGATACATAATTTGAAATAAAGCAGTGACATTTAAAAAGGATCTCAAGTTTATTTAAAAATATTACTTAAATGAATAAACGAATACCACATACAAATAATAACCATTAATTGTCATAACCAATTCCCAACAATTCTTTCGGTAGGTGGCATACTTTGTGATAACCTCCACCCCCATTTAGGTCACCTTTGATTCTCAAGCATCCTTACCGGGAACCTCTTGAAAATATATAAGCATCCTTACATGGAACCTCTTACCAATCACTATATTATTTCTCAAGCATCCTTACTATGAACCTTTTGGGAAGGGGTGAGCATTTTTACAAGTAACCTCTTACTCATGTGCATTACAAACAACCCAATCAAGCATACAATTTCAACATTTATCTCAATTTACAAGCATCTATCAAAATTTTCAAAATATATCATATAACAATTTCATAACCAACTAAGAAAATACATGAGATCACAATAACATTATTTTTCTACCCAACACAAAGCACTAAGGTTTCGAAATCCATAATAAAGAAAGTATTTAGGAAGGAAATACATCACTCTCCAAAAATTAAAAACTAGAAAGGAGATTTCATGGGTATTAAACCCTATTTTGTTCAAAACATGTAATCCTTGCAAAAAGTCTAAGAGATGATGATTCCATAACATATATATACCATTGATAGTCAAAATATACATATATAAATACCCTAGCCTCAATGTAAGTGAATGAGAGAAAACTCCTACCTTGAATCCTTAGTTTTGGTGTGAAGAACAATAATATTTGATCTTAAATCACCTTTGAATCTCTTGTTTTTCCCTTCTTTTCTTCTTCTCTAATGCTCTTTAGGGTTTCAAGAGGTGTGGGGGTGTGAGGGGAGTGAAGGAAATGAAAACAAATGAGATGAAAATAAGTTTAAAACATAGTAGCCCCGAAAACACTGTTCACAGGCTATTTTGAGTTTCTTCAAATTTATGGTTTTGCCACTAAAAATCTCTAATTTGATCCATATGACTACTCTAAGGTTTGTCGACGTTCCAGATTCATTTTTAATGTTATTTTAACCTAAAAACATTTATTTTTATGATTTATCTCAAAACCCAAGTCAACATGCACCCGAAATACTAAAATTTTTATTTTACCCATCTGAATCGGCTATTAATAAAGTTTTGCGATGTTTGCATATAAAATGTGATAAAGGGTGTTTCTTAAAACCTTTTATACTTATTTGAAACCTAAAAGTACTCATTATTATTATATTTTGATCTAGGATGCAAATGGAGACATTAAATGCAAAACGAAACTAATTGAACTAGTTCGATATCGTTTCGTTATCTGAGCATAACTCTCTCATCCAAGTTCCGATTGAGATGATTCAAGATGCTATGGAGTGATACGAAAGAGCTCTAAAACTTTCATGTTTTGAGTTTTGAGAGATATTGACTGCATCAAGGTTTAAATCGAGCTTGAAGTTGCAGCAGTGCACTGTTCACAGCCTGTCTTCGTCACTTTTTCATTTCCAATTCATTCCTAAGCCAACCAAATCCATCTCAAACCTCTCCAACACATATTTCTACACCAAACCTATTTAATACAAGTTTTAGGATTTAAAATTTCATATTTTCACTTATTAAAACTAAATTTCAACTATTATTTTCACTAACATTTTAAGTCTCAATTTTTCAATCTACCAAATTCAAACACACATCACTACATATATCAACATTTTTTTTACCACAATTATTTACTATATATCTATATACATATATAAAAGAAAATGCGGGATGTTACACAAAATAACTTCTAAAATAATTAATTAATTGGAGAGTTTGTCAAACTCAAATAACCTCTCATGAAGCAAACTTTGTCATGCCTAGCATCCACTTCAGCTTCGACAATACATTTGATTTGAATGGTTTGATTAAAATATCTTCAATTTGATATAAATACACTCAATTGTTTTATGAAAAGTTAGATTTTTCGGCAAAGTAATCTTGACTTATTATCATAAAAAATCTAATCATACTACAAAATACCAAGCATACGATGTTGCTACATTGTCTGGGTAGTAGTGTTTGTGGTTGCATTATACTATGTTTTAGCGATAGAGATGGCAACAATCAATCGTTGTTTGTATACCCTACAAGTTCAATAAATACAATAAATGAATAAAAAATACCATTACATTGGTTATTTTTAACATACTTGAAGATTCTTTTCGTTGGTTATACATAGGATTAACATGAAAAATCTATCAATCCAGTGATAAAGCCAATTCCAAAGATAATGTCAAGTCTACTAAGAGTAACATAAACTTCCAACCAACCAAACACACAATAACAATATCTTGATAGGAATTAGTTTGACATATAAAGTGTGTTCATAGAAACTAATGATGCACAAAATTATCACGTGCAAGATCAACAGTTGAGTGTGTAATAAGATATAATTAATGGACAATAAATAAAGCAATCAACGACACTAATGTAAATATTGACTCAACACACAAATATATAGTAGTTCGGTCTTGGTGACCTACTTCATTTTGAAAAACGACAACGGTGTTAGATGTCTTTATTGATGAAATAGGGTGAACGGAGGAGAGAACAATAGTTAACTCCGGAAGAGATACAATAGCTAGGAGAGAGAAGCTATGTGTGTAGAGAGATGTGGTGAAGTGCCCCTCAATGGAGAAGACTTACAATTTATAGGCATGAAACCTTGGTTGAGGCGGTGACGTGAGTGTGAGGGTATCAATTCTTCGTGGAGGATAATTACAAAAAAGTAAGTACAATTAAGATAACTTTAATCTTCGAAAGTTGGTATTCCGATAATCTTTCTCCCATGTGCTCTTATCTTCCTAAACCCCTTAAATCTTAGACTGGGTCGAATTGATGAACAAAACTTGGGTTGTCTTCCTAGTGAATTTGGGTTTGCTTGATTTATTAGGTCTAACCCAATTAAATCTGAGCTCATCAAAAACATCTGAGAAATCCATGGTCCACAAAATAAATAATCTCGATATACTAAGCTCTAGGACTAGCTTAAGTTCATCTACAACATTTTTCAACCTTTTAGATTTATTCTTCCTACAGGCTGCTCAACATAAAATTCTTATAGAAAAACATTCAAGAATACGGATTTCACACTAATTTTGAATATTTTTCAAGAATTATTGGTAGCAAGGGAAGCAATTAAAGGAATAGTATCAAGTCTAACAACAAGGAAAAAACCTCAAGATAGGTAATACCAAAGTTTTGCCTGTAACCGTCGGCTACTAACCTTGCGTTGAAATAGTCCACAACTTTGTTTTTGGTTTGTATATTGTTTTGTACACCCATTTAAC